GCTCCATCCCACCGGCTCCGTTGGGCTGCTTCCTCCCGCCAGCTCCACCTTGGTCCTCAGTCACTCCGGCTCCGCCGCAGATCTCTGGAGCTCCGCCTTGGTCGCCAGAGCCCTCAGCTCCACCCTGCCCCCCCCGTATCCTCGGCATCCCCCTAGCTTATCGGCTCTCCGTCTCCACCACGGGCTCCTCCACCACCTGCTCCGCCACCATTGGTTGGCCCCCTTTTTTTATCTGTAATTTGTCAATTATTTTACTCAATGGTATGTCAGATTTGTTGTGTGTGGGTCTGTTGATGGCAGACAGTGATCCCAGCAAACGGGACGTCCCCCGGATGTTCCGAACGTCCTTTTAGGTCCGCAGTACGTCCGCTTTGAAACGTTCGCGGGCGGACGTTCTGAGGACGTCTGCATTTGGTCCTCTTTTTGATGTTCGCGGGCGGACGTTCGCAGTTAACGGTCCTCCGTGTTCCCTAGACATGCTTTCGTTAGTCGAAAAGGTATTTGTACTTTTATATTTGTAGACATAGCTACCGTAACCACTGTGTATCTCGTAATGCTTACATTTAATGAAAAGTTTATCTTTTTAAACGTTTGCTGAAGTTGTCCCGTACGGCTGCTGACGTTATGTGAACACTTTCGAAGCTAACGTTAGCATGTAAAGCTGAAATTATTAAACGTATATAATATTGACAGCTATTGAACTTAAATATTGAATTTCCATATGGTAAAAATACACACTGATACGCCTATATGCGGCAAAAAGGCCTATGTGCGCTAAATATCGGGCCGCTTGGTCTAAATCCAAATGTGTTCATTTTGTTGTTTTAGGTTAGAAGACAATGGGAAGAATTGCCATCGGACTAACCACAGCTGACAACCAGAGACGCACACACACACACGCGGACACGGAAAGACCACAACAACTTTACAGTTGTTCAATTAAAATAAACATATTTTGCTCCATACAACGTGTCTGTTGTCTTTGATTAGCCTAAAAGTAAAATAAAATGACATTTAACATTCAGAGGACTTAAAGCTAAAGTCCCCCAAACGTCTCGAATGGCCGCTGCACGTCCTGTGAACGTCCCCTTGAACGTCCGGAGGACGTCTTCGTGAACGTCCGCTCGACGTCAAGGGGGCCCTACACGCTGACGTCCGGGGGATGTTCGCAGAGGCCATTTAGGGGACGTCCTGGGGACCTTTTTTTGTTAGCTGGGCTGTTCTTCTAGTATTTAACTGCAGCGGCTGAAGCATCAGAAGTCTCACTCATTCACAGAAAACAGCTTACTTCCAAAACAAGGCAGATGAAGACTGTTTGATTGGCTTAGTGTTTGTGATTGTTTCTCTTCCATTTAGAGTCAGTGGAGATCAAACTGTTCAGATCCATCATGAGTGAAACACAAACATCTGGAGATGAAGATTTGTTTCCAGCACGCAGGTACTTT